ACGGCGTACCCCGGAGCAGCAGGGGTTTTCACTTCAAAACGCTCTATCTTTTAACAGGCGTGAGCACATAAACTTCCTCGGAAGTGTCCTGGGACGGTAGCAAAGTACCCTTAACTCGCAATCAGAAGTAACGATCGGAGATTCTAAGCAAAGAATAAAGAATGGAGAGTGCGATCCAGCCCAGATCAAGCAAGAGCTTCCTACTTTAGATTTCAGACGACAAAATATCAGGAAACGAATAAATAAGAAAAAAAAGGTTGCAAAAGTACCTGAAGATTATGGATCGCAGCTGCATTCTTTGATTCCTAACAGGTTGAGCTGGTCAGAGAAGAAAAAAGAGCACGGGATTGAAGAGGCGCAGTCACCACGTCTGACACGTATGACCCTCCAGTAAAAAGTCCTTCGGAGTACTTTTTACTCGTGGGTCAACGTGGCGTCTGCGCCTCCTCGACCTCACACTATTTCTTTTCTCTGCCTAATTACGAATTAGGTTTACAAGTTAACTCTCTAACTACTAATTAAAATGGTTTTTTTGGTTATGATCTAACTGTAGGTTAAACAAGACTTAATGTGTTGAGAAGCGCTCTGAACCTGTTATCTAAACTGACTTTGGTCTGAGCTAATCTCGACACGTTAAGTCTGAATTAATGAAGGTTTGCTACCGTCCCAGATGTCTGTCAAAGGAGAAGATAGCAATGGAAGAAATGTTGGAACTTGTTAGTGAAGTTCTAGGGACCTCCTCAGAAATGCCTGGCGAAGACAAGCGTTTGCAGAGAAAAAACGGTTCGACGACACGTTGTAAAAGCAACTATTTATCCAGGAGGCGTCAAGGGGACCTTTTGCAACGTTTTCATTATAGTGAATGTGAATGGAATTATGGACGTTCTGGAAGCAAGCGCGGCGTGTTTTCTGGGAATGGCTATGCAAAATAAAGGAAAGAAGCGAATCAACGAGACTATTTTTTAGAAGAGCGATTCTTAGAAGAAGTTTAGCATTGATCCAAAAAAGCCAGTTCTCTAGTTTCTAAGTAGCACTGAACATGTGCGTAAAGTTGATTATGTAGAAGTATGAACGGTTTAAAGTGTTGAACTAGCGCCTTCCCAAAAATCGGAACACAAACTTCAAAAAACGGAATAACGGGACATAGTTTTTGAGGGTGGGATTTTTAGAAGAATGTAGGGTGCTAGTCATCTAGTTTTCAATTAGCTTTGAACACCTGCAAAAAGTTGATCATGTAGAAAGTTGTGATCGTCCAAATGCTGAAAACTTCGGTTATGGTGCACAAAAAAAAACAGAACAGTGGCACGATTTTTTGAAGAAATGAACATTTGCAACATTTTATGATTTTTAGAAAGAAATCAGTTTTAAGTTTTCAATTTTTTTTTACCCATCTCATGAGTCTGCTTTTGAAAAAAAAACCATTTGATTGAAGGGGTTTGTATTGTAGCGTAATTGCTTCAAGGTTTAGTAATTCAGATCGTAAAAGTAGAAAAATGAGAGATCGAAAAAAAACTTGGTAGGTTTCTGAAAGTAGAAATCTTTGTGATTATATCGTGTATTGGTTTACGCAAAAATTTGGAAATTCCTTCTATTTAATGAATAAAACTTCATGTTGCCTCGATTCCTCCTCTGAGCGAGACAGAGCGCGCGGGGCATGTGTTGACAGCCACCAGGTGCTGGTCAGCGACGGAGGCTTCTGCATGTACGAGGGCGAATGCCCATAAGTCAATGAAAATGGAAGAAGGCAAATTGAAGGGAGTTATTGTGAAAGACACCAATAGTGAGTACAGGGGGAGGCGGGGGAGTCATAGTGATATCCTCTCGAAGGGGAAGGGGGGGAGCACGGCTTAGTTACCACTTTTGGGATGTTCTTGAATCGAGCCACGTTAATGCCACGTCAATTTCTGCAATTGCACAATTTCTGGTCATTTGAAGGGGTACACGCACAACGGGCTGCCAACAATGTGTTAACATCCATTAGAATAGTACTCTATCACAAGAGTCAGTCTCTTTGTGTGAACTAAATTGAAATATTTTCGTGGACGATACTTTTAAATAACGACGTTTCGTAATTAGTGTTGTCTGTATTCGTTACTGGTGAAGGTTGTTCGTGAAATAAAGTTGCGTCATTCAAATCCACATGCAGGTTTCGGCAAAAACTCAGAAATAAGTACCTAGCCCGAGCGTTCTCGACCTACTTAGGAGAGGTGCTCTTGCTTGAACAACTTGACTTTTTCCCTCTCCGCACCATGAAAGAGTAAATGTGGTTCAGCCATTTAGCCACAATGTGATCATCGCGGCCATCATCGCATCTTCTACTCGTGTGACAAAGGTGGCTCACACTACCGCCTGTGGGAACCTGGGGCATGGATGGTGTGGGTGGCCAAAGATCGTACATACATACTCGTTGAAGCACATCTATCCAGCCCTACTCTCCAGTTTTCTATTCTAATTGAAGTATGAGATTCTCCACGTCGGCCTTTCTTGAAACCTTGGCATCATTCTTGAATAGCATTTTTGCTCCAGTGTCAAACAAAAACAACAAAACATAAACAAAAGGAAACAAGTTTTGGCTAGTGGAATCCTTGCTTAGCCTAAAGTTTCGACAAATTGGTCGTTATTAGAGGTACAACACCACCAGTGCCGATGACCGCTCAGTCTCCGTCAGTGACTCGAAGAATAAAAATAACTTCGACAATGACCAACTTGTCGCAAAGTCAGGCTAAATAATTATTCCACCATTCAAAAACTGTTTGGCACAGAAGCAACATTACCGAAACATGAGAGCTAGTGCAGTGTTTACAAGGTGCGTCGCGCAGAGAAGTTCTAAAATTGATGTCTTCAAAAGTACCAATTGTTGAGAAGGGTAAGGGGCCCGACGTGATGAGAGTGCGCAGAGAAGCATACGAGTATACTGTAGTGATTTCGCGTCAAGTTAAACAGAGTGTGCTGCAATACGTCCCACACTATAAGGCACGCGCTGCGACTCGTCCACTGACCTCTGACCCGTCTTCGTCCCTGCCTTCTCGCCGCGCGACGGGCCTCTGTCGGGTTCCTGCTGAGAAGCCGACAATAGGTGACACTGAGCATGTGAGGTGGTTGCCTTGCACTACCAGCCACAGCACTAATGGGATTGCTGACGACACGAGAACGTTTCGTCTTTCAATTTAAAAGTTGTGTTGTTGTGCTAAACTGAAAAGCGTCTATGTAGGTGCCAGAGGAGACAACATAAGCAGAAGACACCTCAATGCTCACGACGACTTCAAGCCACAAGCGCTGACAGGCCAACCTTGCCTGAAAACTCCACCCATGTCTGCGTCTCTGTCATCCCTACCCTCCTTCGTCCCCTCGTCGTCAGAGTCAATCCTCCTCATTTTCGTCTGCGTCGTATCTCATACAACGCTATAGATCAGCCTTTAAAAGAAACCTAATGAAGGACTTAATGTTGTTTCGCTGCACAGGTTGTTACGATGGAACTCAACGTTTCGGAGAGTCGTCGTCTTTAGGACCTCCGCGGTTCCACCAGCGCCAGTCCACTCAATCTACTGAACAGATACGCAGAGCGGATAGATTTATGCAGATTGTTTCTTGGCAGTCTCTTTTGCTTTTTAAGGCTCTGAACATATAGCAGCCGCTGTTTTATTGATTTGAAATTCATTATGTACAGGGTCAACCGTCCGTTGGACAAAGTCCAACGCGACGACGAGAGTAATGCCGAGAGTGAACGTACGCACGGAGACACAGACGGCTCGCGGGTGGCGAGAGTGAATGCCGGCGCGGAGAGCGGTGAACATCGGTCCAACGTCGCTCCAATATCGGTCCAACGTAACGGTTGACCCTGGTTAATGTACAGCTCATTAGGAGGATTGCCGCGATAAAATCTGAGGTGGCTTCCATGTGAGGGAAGAGCTTCGTTTTCATTCAATATACATTTTCAGAATAAGTGATTAATTAAAGTTTATTGAGTGATCTACGCAAATTGTGTTGGTCTCTGCAATGCGAGGGCACCTCGTTTCATGCCGCCGGAACCGTCCAGACCCAATTTCGACAATTCCGTCCTTATAACTCGCTCCATTTCATAACCGTACTTGATCTAAAAAATGTCTGCTACGTCAAAGCACCGTAAACTTAGGATGTGCGTCACTAAAATGTGAGGCGGGTTGCTACGCCGCGCGTTTAGTTGTTGCGAAATTGCGCAGCAACAGGTACCCGACAGGAGGCCCGTGGCGCGGCAAGAAGGCAGAGTCAGCGGACGAGTTGCAGCGCGTGATGTGCGTGCAGTTGCGTGTACAATGGTACACTCTATTTAACTTGACGCGAAATCACTACAGTACGCGCTGCGACTCGTCCGCTGACTTTGCCTTGTTGCCGCGCGACGGGCCTCCTGTCAGTTACCCGGCAGCATCTTCGCCAAATGAGATAGCGCTCAGTGAGCGCGTGCGGTGCGCGACATGCAGTACTGACTCGCGCCCTACAGATGGATATGACTACAGCAAGTGTTCCCACGACATACCTGATTCACAAGAAACGCTGATAGTACCGTCCACGCCTCAGCGGTGATTGGGCAGACATCATTGGGGCCGTGATCTGAAAGTAGCTATATCAGATTTCCCAAGAAGAAAAGAATACCAAGGCAGTCGCAGAACGCTTACGTTCGGCCTTACTGTCCCATATAAGATAATAAAGTTGACCTAGGCACTCGCTATGTTCTCGTATTGAATCCACACAGGATAGACTACCCCTCGAGTGGATTCGATGCTTCGGCGTGGAAAACGAGGAGAACGACGCCGACACTGGCATCTGAAAGGAGTTCAGTGAAGTAATGAAAGTCAAGTTACAAGAAAATGAGGAGTTATCGATCGAAGCCAGAAGTCATAGTCTGGTACCTTCAACACTATCCGTTGACCTTTGTGTTTCCCTTCGAAGAGAGGGATTACGAGAAGATTAGGCTGGGATGAATGTGGAAGTGGGGATGTCGAGTAATGCTCCAGTGGCGAAATCCGTCGACAACGCGCAAAATGGAACCCCAAAATGGACAATGGACGAGTTAGCAGCCAACTAAGCGGTTGTTTGCATCTATCTATTCAACCGATAGCCACTAGCAAAGGTCATGCTTTCGATTGGCAACGCGTTCCATGGGAAAGTTATAGAATACGCAATCAAAGCGGAATACTCATCAAGGGCGCTGCTGCTGGGGGCGGAGCTCAGAAAGGAATGGCCCTGTACGCTGCAGCTAGCGCACCTTTGGCCACAAAAACGCACATTTCGTTTCCTTGGGCCCCTGACTACTGCTTCCACTGGTGCATGTACTTCCACGCTGCACACGCACTTTATCGTAATCTCTCGCTTTGAAGCAGGGTCAACCGTCCGTTGGACAAAGTCCAACGAGGGGGTGGGCTTGGGGGGTGGAAAAGAGGGGGGTCGTATTTTGCGAGGTAGCGTCAATGTTACAGTAAGGGAAGGGATGATTTTTCATGGAACGGAGAGCGGATTAGGTTGTTGGCTGGGATTTTGAGTACGAAAATAGTGCGAAAATTTTGCCGTTTTACATTCGACATACCCCCCCCCCCTCTAGGCAGGCGAGGGTAGTGGAGGATGGTCGTGAAGGGTTAACCCTGAGGGATTGTATCGAGGCCCTCTAGAAGGGGGAAGGGGTCGTAAAATTTTCGAAATTGGTCCAACGTGACGGTTGACCCTGCTTTGAAGGCAGCAATCGCGATAAGTTGGTGTCACTGAAGGATGAGGAAAGAGGTGCCAAGCTGTGCGTAATACACAAATAAGCGACATCTTCAAAAACCCGAGAAGCCTAACCCTCGTTAAATACGTCGAGAGTTGACGAGTTAACGGCTAACATAAAGATCGTTCGTATGAAGGTAAACACCGGCATCATGCCAAGCACGAGGCCATTACTTCTTCTTAGAGAAGATCTACCAGTCATCGAAGCGGCAGTTGCCCACCACCCTCACCATCTTTCTATGGTATTTGCACCGCCCACCTCCGCCCACGTCTTCCTCCAAAATGACCGTTTAGCGGGAGAAAGGGGAGAGCCGGGGCATACATGTCCAATGAAGCGTCAAATCTTCTAATTTTGTCCATTTCGCACTTTTTTCGGGAAGTTTTTACCAAAATGATCAGAAACTCGTCGAATACGACCCTCATTTCCCGCCACTGCGACTCTTCTCTCCAAAAACGCGATCCTCATTTCAACCATACCGTCTCCATATACGACCCCATACAGAAAGAGCTCGAATACGCCCCCCGCCCCGATGAAAACTGCGCACGGTTGACTTTGCCAGCAAGAAGTTTTCCCACGTCCAGCGTCTCGAGCAATTGTTTTTACCCAAAAACACTAGAATGGTGCTCTTTCATGGATACGGATTACGCTTCTCTCGAATGAGAAAACCCTGTTGGTTTTGCAGGGAATTCCGAAAATTTCCCTGGAAAATTCAATAGAAAATCAGCGAAGTTTGTTCATCGCACATCGAAAATGTAATTTGCCTCGTCGTTTGGTCGCCAGAACTATTTAGTGGATTCAAAGAACTGTTCTCAGTGGTCGTGCAGTGTAGGAAAAGTACACAGCGCAATGAAACACTTCCGAGAATCTCAGCAGAAGATTGAAATGGAAGAGCAAAAGCGTGGCCAATTAGGAGAACACTGGCGCAAGCGCCAGTCCCAGATTACGTTTTTACTATAATTGCGCTTTCGTTTAGAGGCGGACGTGTAAGTCCGCATTCTACGTGCATGTGGTCCGAACTTTGGATTTAATTTAATTCCGCCTAGGCCAACGATTTCTCTTTGTTTTACGAGGTCGACTAGTGGGCAAAAGGCTGGTCTCCCAAGAGACTACGCGTCGAAAGACCACCAAGTAATCGTCCAGGTCAAGTCAAACCTAAATTTCTCTCGGATACGTGATGGAAATAGAAGACGTGGCGCATTCCAGAAACGGCTAATCGAATCGACTCGAACGCTTTCTTATTTGATCTTTCTTCTTAATTTTGCATATTTTATCAGGGTGATTTCGAAATCAATCGAACAGCCAAGTAAGTTCTGTTGCATTAGCTACAGGGCTATTTGGAAGGCTTGTGTCAACGAAACTTTGTAGTCCCAAAAGACCTACCTGTTCTTCTTCTTCAGCAGGCTTCTCAGCGTCGTCCAACAATGACTTGTAAGACTTGTCCTTTTCGCTGGAGTTTAGGCTTTCTTTCCGGCTTGGAGCCTTCTGAAATGCTGAGTTAAATCTGATAACTCAAACAGCCTGCGGTGCTTCAAACGCATCAATCCCCATTCAGCACTCTTGCATGCTCCTCAACATTTCGCGACTACCGCAGCACGCCGGTGCTGCACCGACAGGGAACGCTGCCCATATCGTGTGTTCGCACAAGCCCAATTCTTCCGCACCCCCTACCGCCCACTTGGCCTAGCCGTCCACCGCCAAGGCCCTCCCTTCGCTGCTCTCCACCCCACTGTCTTCCCTCCACTCCCACCACGCTGAACCTCTAACCGCAATCCATCTCATTCGCACCCACTCCCTTCCTCAGTCTCGCCTTCCTGCCCGAGTCTGCAAAATAGAGTATGCTGCATCGCCGACTTGAGCCGGAAATAGGAGGAAGTCTTCAGAAACATTGCGAATAAGAGATCCTTTACCAGGCGGTAAGCGAGCCTGGAAGGGAACCTATTCAGGGAAGGATGGGTGCCGAGGCGAGAAAGCTTAACAAGACCGAAACGCAAGCAGCTAAGCTATCCGCGACGGTGGAGTGCAGAGGTTAAGGCTGTGAAACTTGCGTTTTGATTCGCAAAAAACATCGCGCTACAAAAATGTGCCGCACCGACTCCCGTATAGAATCCACCTTCAATGAATCTTCACCGGGAACCGACTCAGAGCGGTATACCCACCACAATTCCAATGCGCACAACCTCCTTCTGCCAATTCTTCAAAACACAGAACACAGCCCAAACTATAAAGCGTGACATGGGAAGCATCCCTCCGGCATCGATCGTCATGTTTTGGCCATGCGCCACCGCATCTCTACTTTCATTCAAGATCAGTGCTAAAAGAGTGCAAGTTTCGTCTATACAAACAATTTCTGGAGCTTACCCGCATGTACCACGTCATTGTATTTTCTTCACAACTCAAGACTCTGCGTCAAACTCCGACACTCCCGAGGCGATGAAGCTTTAGCGTGGACCCTATCGCATCCAGTACAGCGCAATCAGCTCCCTTTGCTCACTGCAAGTGTAGTAACGCCAGGTCACCTCCACATGCCTCACAATACATCACTCTCGCTCACACCAAGATCAAACTACGGTGAAGCGGGTACCAACTCACAATATTAAACGCCAATAGTTTACGCTCGTGCTCATTAACAACAGCCAATAAAACTTCTTCAAATGCCTCTAATGTGATAACACATTCCGATAAAGCACTGGAACGCTCAGCATTGATAAAATCGACCATCTGGTGTGTGCCACGCGCTGGATTTCCGTTTACTGTCGTGGTAACATTTTGAGCATCCGGTCAATACAACCAATCAAGAACTCCTGCTATCGAAATCAGAGCGATTCTATCCTGCCCAAATCTGGGCGGGGGATAAAGACGGCCTCGCTAGAAAGGGGAAAAGTTGATTGACCTGAGCCCAACTGATGCGGGTTATCACCAAGCCAGAGGGAAATCGTGACATTTGCCACTTAACTTCATTCCACCAGAGCTATTGATTCTCTATTAGGCTGCTATGCTTCTGCGCAACTGTGGGCTTCTTCTTGGCCCACATAAAGTCTACAAACCTGTGTTTCAATGTGGACCTCCCTTTTCCTAATTTGACCGTACACGAGTGGATGCATTCCTTTTCTTTCATTTGCAAACGCAATCGTGGTGTGAGGCCGCGAAAACTTCCAAAGCGGCCAGCATTTCGGCGCAAAAGTCCACAAAGTGAAATTTTTGTCTCTCAAAGTTTTGGAAGTGGACGGGGACGAGGAAGAAGCGCGCGCGTAGAAACTAAATGAGCCGTGATTTAGTTAGCGGAGCTCAGCTCGTGCTTTTATCTAGTTCCTCGTTCATCGCAAGCGAAAAAAAAGCTATAGACGATGGAACCAACCTCCACGTATTGATGGTCGCCTTCCTGGAGTTGAGTGGCGGTTTGATTGAGTGCATTTGCTAATCGCTCAAAGTACACAGCCGATACCCGTTTTGGGTAAGCGGCGTAGGAGGCACCGAAATCTCGCAGGACGTCGTACGAGGTGGACGGCTCGCGAAGACGTCGCATCGCCTCCGACATGGCTGTCACGAATCTCTAAAAGTTGTGCTATTTCATGAAGGATACTGGACGACGACTTTCGGACGGAGTGATCAAGCAGTTGTACGGTCCTAGTTTTGCAGACTACGCCACGCATCTGGTTTCCACTCGAGATTCCGGCCAAATATGTGCCCCATGCAAGCATAACGACTTTCGAGAGTCAAGAAATGTTTAAGGGGGTGTACTTCAGTTCTCCTCTCCAGGTCAGGTCACCTAGAATTAGGACAGCACTCATTTGCTCGTGACAAGCCTAGGCCCAAGTTATCGCCTTAAGCATAAGCCAATGTCTACGCATGAGTCTAAGCCTAAGCCCAAGCCCAGCCAAAAACTAGACTTCAATGATCACGCAACTCTGGTGATCTGACTAGGAGGAAAACTGAACGTTTTCATGTTTAGGCTGATGATTTTAGGCAGTGGACAACCCTGTGATGAATCAAACAAGTTGCAACTAGCGTCAACCTTTGGTGCAACTTTTCGTCAGAAAGTCAAGTCGAAAAAAAAGGTAGAGGAGGGCTGAATTGATGAAAACAATCGATTTCAAGACGTTTTCTAATTTTTTTTGAAACGCTGCAAAAAATCTGATGACATTTACTCTTCATTTTCTCTTCTTTACGCACCCGCGCGTTTAAGACCAGAGATTGAGGTAGACTTTCATGGAAATTTGTCTTTACAGATAAAGCTTGGCTAAAAATTTGCACCCCGGGCACTTTTGAGCACAAACACCACATCCGTTTGGTGCGAAAGCGCTTGGCGCCTCCGTTGAAAGGCGCCTGAGCAACTCAGATAATCAAATTCGCTGAAAACTTACCATCAGGAAAAATTCAACTGTAAGACTTAGCACATACGGTTCCCACCGGGAAGCCGGTGTCCACTTCGCGAATACAGCGATTCGCTAGTGAATCGCGGATACGAGCGTTGCACCAGCGAATCGAGCTGTGTACCAGCGGTTCGAACGATGTACCAGCGACTCGACACTGTTTGAAAGTGGCGGGACTCCTTTGAACGTTGGCTCTCGCCATTTCCCGGCTCACGAGGGCATGAGAGAGTAAGAGGGCACTAGAATTCGAGAAAGTGTCGACGTGCAAGACGAGAGGGAGTCCCGCCACTTTCTAACAGTTTCGAGTCGCTGGCACATCGTGCAGTCTGCTGGTACATCGTCCGATCAGCTGGTGCAACGCTCGTACGAATCCAGCGACTTCGTTGGCAAATCGCTGGATTCGTAAGGTCTGACATCATGCCCAAAGCGGAAAGCGCCTGGCGCCTGCACCACAGGCAGGAGGAGGCACATCTAGTATTTGACTCTGGCGCCTATGGCATGGGCGGCAACACTTTCACGTCAAATGGGTTGAATACTCGCTTCCTACGTGTTCGGTCACCCAGCATGCAAATCTTCCGCTAAAAACCTACGGAGGAAATTTCCAGGAAAATGCAGCTCAATATTTGAAATTTGGAGCAGTCAAAGACAAACAGTGCCAAAATATTTTATCTACCCGATTTTTTTCCCATATCTTCCAAATGGACAATGCGTGGCGCTAGCGCAAGATGCGGGAGCATTGTTTTGACAGCACATTCAAAACTACGAAAAGCATCTACTTTTGTTAAAAAAGAAGACTAAGTTCTAGGGGAGGAAGAGAATCTAGGGTGCGTGAACGATTTTCATTTTCTCAAAGTTTCTGCACACTCCTAGGCTTGGTCCTAGAGGATGCCCCCGTATCTTGCTATAGCACCCTATGGTTTTTTCAAAGAATACAAGCTAAATGAGAATCACAAACACTACCCCGATCCCTCGAACCTGTTCCTTGCTCTAATTTTTACGTGAGCTTCAACCTTCCGACTGAAGTTGACACGGTTTTCCATTACAGTATATGTACGTGCCGAGCAAAAACACTTTTTGTGGATATGAAAACTTCTTCAGATTCAAATCATAATGTTTATCGATACTTTTGATGAACAATACACTTTTCACTCTCCCATCTATTTCTCCAGAATCCTAGAAAGAGCTATAGGATTCAAGCAATTATAGCATGAATTCGCGCCTGTCGGCTATCCCCTTACTGACGACAAGGCAAGGTCTGAAAGGTGGATTGTTTTTCCCTTACTCCGAGCACGCAATGAATATTCCATCATTCAAACTAAGGCGACGAATCGGATGAGACAAGGAAAATTGCCGCCCACACTGCATGACTTATAAAGCATGACAGATGAATCTCGTTCATTCTGAATCAGAGATTTCCAGCAAATAAAATTAGTCTTGGAAAAATCCCGAACGGAGCTTCGGACGTCTCACATCATTTTCGTTTACTTTTTAGATATCTCGAAACTAAGGCTAGCGCGCAAAGTGAGAAAATTCTCAGGCATTTTCTTATCTGAACCTCTGGCAGCAAAGCTACGAGTTGGTACATCTCTTCCACTTTTTTAAAAGTGCTTCGAAGGGTCAGGTGTAGCATTTTTACCATAAACTGTACTTTAATTATTTGAAGACGGGACTATGATGAGGAATACAGGACTATGTTTTTGACGACGACTCAGTTTGAGAGTGCGCCATGCATTCTGCTCTGCTCCACGCCCTTATTGACGAAAGCAGAAGGAGGATACCTTTTTCGCTATTTTCCTCTGAGGGGGAAAAACTATATCACTTGTCGTTTTTGCTTCTAGCGCAATATCATTGCTATTTTGTTAAGTATTTGCTCTGATCAAGTCTTTCATCTATATTTGGTACTTTGTTGCTGGTTCCTTGGCACTTCGTCTTTGCTTTTTCTGTAATAAATGTCATGTTGATTCGTCATGCTGGATTCATCTGGCAGGCTCTCATTTGCGCCGGTATTAATAAATAAATTATGGAAGAAATATATATAATTTCTTTTCAATCAATCATTGTCATCCACACGATCATCTTTATTCAATGTTTGGAGTCATGGCGGCTATCGCAACACTACGGGGATTGTATGCAGGACCACCCCAACCAGCGTAACCCGGCTTTTTTGTTGAAAACGGGAACTCACCTTAAGCGGGAGGGGGTGAAGGAACTCCAAAAATGCGATTGCACTTTCATTTCCCTGGAGATCGTGACTCTCCTAAGCTTAGTTCTGAGGATTCTCCGTATCTTGCCCAGCGCCCCACTGAAGCCGACCGGCGGTGGTGTGGCTTATACGTTGGCCATTTTCATGTTCCCCAGAGATCGTGCCTCTGCTAGGCTCAGTCCTGGAGGATGTCCACGTATATTGCCATAGCGCCCACCGATTCATTTGTATCGCACAAAAATTCAGAAACGCAATGATAAAGCCGGCTGACTCAATTGAACCTTACTTATTTCTTATACCCCTTCCCTCTCCCCGTCCCCATCCGCAGAGACAGTCTGGTCCGTGCAACATCGGATTTAATAGGATGGAAGGCTCAGATGCCTAGGATGGAATTCGATCCGCAGGTCATGTGTTTGATACGATCGCCGGTGCCATTTTCACCACCTCTGCACAACTCGCAAATTTTTCACATTTGAAAAGTTAAGAGAGAATAGACGCGAGATAGGAATTAAGAGACAAGAGACGCGAGGCAGTAATTTCCATATTTCACCTGAACATGAATTTTGAAGTTGATGTGGTTCCTACCTGAACATGAATTTTGAAGTTGATGTGGTTCCTCCAGTTTGGTTCTCCTTTGAGATCAAGGTAGGCCAGATAGTGAGGATTTTCGGTGAAAATGCTCTCAAACATCCGCCTGCCCAATTCGTAAACTGTGCCTAAATTAGGTACCATAACCGTCGGCGAGACAGAACACTGTGCGAAAAAAGAAGAATACATAGAATGGATTCGGCTTGAAATATTTCATGACGTCTAAAAAATGTGAGTTCCACGAAAAATATTTTTCTCTGGCCTTCAAAAGTCGGCCCTAGCGGGATAAAGTCCGTGTTTTGGTGACGTCTGCCGAAAACTCATGCGTCATGTTGGCATGTCTCTGATGAACGACATGCCCAGAGACCGAAAAAGTTTTGACGGATGAGCTTGGCAGTATCAAATTTTTGCCCTTACCAGATTCCATTCGATTCCATTTCCGCGTTAGCAACGCCTTTTGGTGCAACGTCAGGCCCGTCACGCTGCATACAACCTTCTTCCGCGAATTCCTGGAAAGAAATTAGATTTTCATGAGTTTACTGTAGCCTGAGTATCCATGTTCGACTTTTAGTAAATATTGGCATAGTTCGTAGTACTTTTAGTCAGGTTTGTTGGAACAAGACAGTAGTCTTTAGTCGGCTCACGTTTCGGCCTTGTCGCCTTCTTCAGAGCCTGGAAAACCAAAAGTGCGACTCATCCTCAAACACCATTTTAAACTTCAAGAACAGTCCCCCAGACCCAGTGGCTTTAGAAAGGCACCGTAAACACAAAACACTTGGACTCACCTTGAGGTGTTTGGGAATGAGTGGCACTTATCTTTGGTCTTCTAGGCTTTGACGGAAGGCGACAAGGCCGAAAGGTGAGCCGTATAAAGGTTACTATTTCCTTGATTGCGGTTTCAACAAACCTGACAAAAAGTAACCTGAAAGCTTGACTCACCGACTTCGGCACGTCTTTGAGCGCCGTGGAGGTCGTTCGGTCATGCACCGACGGGGTCCGTTTTCTTTTGGTGCAGAGGGTACGCTGAAAACACCATTTTGGAAGCAGTTCCCCTAAGCCTAAAGCATCAGATTAATGGTGACCATTAAGAGGAGACGGCTATGTTGAGTCTGCGACTAAAAACACTTAAGAAATTCACTCAACTGGGCCCTATACAGTACTTGCTTCCCCCTCTCCCTACGTCAGAAGCTATGGTCTGCAGCTCGCCGGGACCTTTTCATGATAGTGCTTTCATGGTCCTTAATTCACCCTCTATCACAGAACAGATGGAAGCAGCGGATTACCCGGATGTGGAATGTTACTCCACAACGAAAACCCTTTGACTGCATTTTTTGGGAGTGGGAGAGGGGCAGAGAAGGGAGGGCGAGCCGCGGCATCGTCTCCGCTGCACCCGCGGTGACCGACTCTGGGAAGTGAAGTCCGTCTGCAGCCCCTCCCAACAGAATCTCATCATTCGAACACCCATAATTACAAACATCATGTAAGCCCAGGAATCAGGCTCCTATTTCGCTAGCTAGATATCGCATTTCTTAATTTAGCGAAACGACTCATTTTTCATGAAAACATAATGGTATAGTCCAGCAGTATGATGTAGTCTGATATGTATGTGGAAATGTTTCTGACAAACTCAGTAACCCCCGTTCTGTCCCATCGCCTTCATCAGATCCTTTAGCTCTATCGCTGCTGCGCAGAGTAAGAAGCATGATCAGGCATACAATAACAATCACAATTTGACACATTCACGCCGACGGCCAGCCCATACCTGCCAACAACATGCGCTCTGGGACGATGGCAGCCCATATGGGCTGCCAGCTGATAATCGCTTGCCAGGCGCTAGGAATGGAAAGATAGGTGGGCAAATCTCGTAATCGAGTTTAAAATGCTTTTAAATTCGATTCAATATAACTCGAGCATAATCCTTTGACCACCCACATATCTTTTTCAGTCTCTGGCTACTCGGAGGTACAGTCACGACAGTACGATGTTAATTTCGGAGTGATGGATTGATCGATTATTTTGCTCTTGTTTACCTTTCCGAAATCTACTGTCAGCCGATGTGCACAAGAGGTGTTCAGAGGGTGCCTCGTACGTAATTACGCTATGATGGTGAAATGATTCTCTGTCGTAGATGTCTATTTTCCCAGAGAGTTCATAATAATGTGGCCGAGCGCAAGCAAATCTGCCCAGGAAAAAATTCTACAACGGGCATCCCTCTCCATGCCATATTCCAAAACCGCCGTTCCAGGAGCTTGCTGTCTGTCAGCATGCGTCGTTTGCCACAATCGTCAAAGTCAACCCTTTAAAATTGTCGAAACCATTATTCACAGATAGGACCGATATAGCCTTATCACTTGAGGTTCCAAGATAGGATGATGATCCTGAGCAGATTTGTTCAGTCAAAAAGCAGAAAAGCTTGATGACGAAACTACATTTCTGAGTGTTCCGATTGTAGCGTTGGTGAAAAGGGTGAGCTTTTGATGCAGATCACAACGTGCGAATGCGCCACGCATTCATCTTCCATTCGGAATCATAGTGGCATTTCAAGGCGGTATTGTGACTGACGCCGAAGTGGTGGAAGGCTTGATGGTCTATACGCATACTACTCATGGTCAGATCCCATGACTGCGTGCTTGGGAAATGGCGCCGCATGCTCACACATCACTTTCTCCTTCGCATTCATAACAGGGGATAAAGCGCTACCATTACGGGGAAGCTTTCATATTTATAGAATAATTCAAAAGGTAACATTTCAATCGTTCTAGAGTTAAACCTATGAATATCTGCAACTGATGCCATCGCTAAAGATTTGGGTCTATCATAAGTATCACAAAGGAAGAAGCCGGCTGTAAGCTTCGTTGAACCCAGTGATCCCAGATAGAAACCTCCTCAAAAGTAGTTTAATCATACAAAAGGAGTTATTTCAGACATGATTCAAGTTGCTGGCGCCAGTGCAACTTTTCACGCGTATCGTTATTGCCACTGGTGCACGGTTCATCTGAATATTATAAAACGGCAACATATCTCCCCGGGAAGTAAAAAGTCCTTTATTTTTGGCTCATCGTTGACCCAAGGCCCCATTTATAAAGAACGCTCCCATCGAGTGACCTTTCTTGCTCAAAATGGAATCACATCTCGAGGGACCCCAGTTATAAATGACCTGTAGTTCGATTAGAAGCTACGATTGTTCGCTACTCTGATGTAGACTTGGCGCCCACAGATCGATAAGGAGAGCAAATTTTTTAGCTATCAAAAGATAAATGATCCAGAAGCACTACTCACCGTGCAACTCCTGGTTCACGTACTGGTGATTGCGAATGTGATAAAGGCCCAATTCAGGGGGGGGCTGGGGTGGGGGTGAGGGCAGTCACTTAGCATGCGTGAGAAGCTGAAATGTCCCGTGAAAAGCTGGTATTCGAGTTAAACTACATCGCTGAGCCGCGCACCGACTTCCCCCCCCCCCCCCGAGCCACATTGCGCCCATAAAAGAATAAGTATGAACAGGAAACACACGAATTAAAGCAACACGGCGCGAAAAAAACATCGAAAAGCACAAGAAATACACCAAAACCAGGATTATCGATCGGAGCACGCGATCTGCGCCCAACGTTCGCGTCATGCGCCAGAGTGCGTATTGACGCTCTTCACACTGTCGGTGCGGTCGGCGCCGTCGGCGCCGTCGGCACCGACCGCACCGATGCGAACTATGAAAGCAGCCTATGACTTCGTATAGCA